GGGGGATCGGTATACATTAGCATTTTCATTGCCAAAGCGGTAGTTTGTGTGACTGCATCAGTAGATGTCAAATAGCTGAGTATTATCAGTTGTTGGCGATGTACTAATAATATATAAAAATGTCTAAACTGGGTAAGGAAACATCAAGCAGCTGAAACTGTACTAACAGAACTGCCCCAGGTGAGGGGGTTCATTCTGTCAGCACTACAAGCTACTATACGAGCGCTCTCATTGATTTCCATCTCGATAGGATGTCATCTAAAGTATACATTAACAACCGCGCTTCCTGAGCCGATAGTCGGAATGGCGCGGCCGCCGTTAACGCGCTTTTGGACTTAGAGTCCGTAGGTCTCTATATGAATGTTGATGCCACAGCACTGCGCAGTAGTAAACCAAAAATACTTCTTAAGATTATAATGATATTGGAAAGTAGAATAACAGCTGCGTTGGTGACAATGTCTTCGATCGTAATGCTTCTGTCGAAGGTTTGGGCACCATGTGCAACGCTCAAAGTATCACCCAGCCGTATGGAGGAGGGGCCAAGATCGATGCGGAGTAAGCAAGTAGTTGCCTAAGCTTACCAGAAGCCGTTAGAACTACATGCATCCTCGAGTACATTTGCAGGATTGTAATTGTGACTGGATCAGTGTACACCATTTTCGGACTAGCAAGGACTAGAGCGAGTCTACCGATTCAGCATTAAAAATACAAATATACACGATCGAGTCATTTCCCTATTTTGTTGCAGCTGTGTATAATATACTGAGTAAGCTTTGAAGGCGGGTACATCATCCTAATGAGACAGAAGATTATCGGTCTGCTCTGTGATGGAATTGCCAGCTTTAAATCATGTGGAATCCATTTTATAGGTAGATGCCGCGCTATTTACTTGTGCGAATAAAGTACTTATTAGATCAGACAAGGATTCCAACTTATATATATGTAAGTTGAGACATCGTCAAACGAAATGATGCTCACGAACCTAAGTACGGATCGCGATTAAAGGGCATCATGTTTATTTTGAGATACTGTTTGTTTCGAAACTAGAGATATTACTTTTGAATAGCATGGCTATTCGAAAGTAATATCCGAAATGGCGGTGTATTTTGACGGGTTGTGAAATCCAATGTTTTTGAGTACTGTCAGAACGATCTTGTAAATTAAAATATAGTACGAGTTTTTTTTCATATTTTTACGTGCAAAATTTACAACATATCTTTTTGAAGTTCGATTAGGTACGAAAATGGATATCGAAAATTCCAAATGGTTCGAACCATCATGTCGTTTGACGCTCTCTCTCTCAATATTGTTGAATCACAAAGACGTGTCCAGCTCAGCTCATCCTTCAAATCAATTTAAGCTTACGATCCGGACGCGGTTCGCAATCTGTGCTCGTTACTAGATCATCACGTATAATAATAAGCACTGCTTCCGAACCACAGCGAGTTCGTCAACAACGGGGGAGGGTGGGTCCAGCAACTGGTCGTTTCACAGCAATAATTACGTGAAATTGTTCCAGCAGTTTACAAAAAAGATGTGTTGTACATTTGTAATTAGCTGGTAAATTTCCTTAGGTCAATTCTACTAGTTGTCGATTGATGTTTGCTTATACAAAATGTTTTCCCTAACGATTCTGCCTAGTAGAATCTGAATTCACACCCAATTGGTAATTTTAGGCAGTACTCTACGAGAAAATTGTTATTTAGTGGCAGTCTAACGTTGTCGTTTCAGAGCATCTGGGCTAACTGGACCTGACAGGAGAAATTTTAGGCTTGAAGACGACGGGTGTTCTTGGCTTACTGTTTCTTCCTCCATTCCAGGTACTGCAGTAGCTTTTGAAGGTCCTCTTTAAAGGTATGGTGTGTCACTCGTGTACATTAATCCGATGGACGTGTGGTTCCGTGAATTCGGTTTCTGAGAATTTTACGAGTTCTTCCTCTGGTTCCACCTCTGCCTCCACCATTGTTGGTTCTTTCCTCCAAAGCTGATGTCGTATCAGACAGTTCGTGGGTCTTCTCAGGTTCTCTCACATTCGAATTGGCCGTGGCTGTGGAGGTGTCACCGTTGGTTGCTGCAGCGCTGCCATCGCAAGTAGCTACAAGAGCAACCGCAAAGAGTAATATGGAGGAACTGACACGCATGACTCTGGTTGTTGGGAGAACAACATCCGACTTTCTCTATATTGGAAAATGGCAAATGCGCTGTCACGAACAACAGTGGAAAACCAGTGGGTAAGATTTGGGACAAACACTGCCGAATTGGATCTTGAGCTTTGACATGCAATACGGGCAACTTGGTTGCCGCGCAGAACTTTCATAATAGGATGCAGTGGAGCTTGGACCAACTGATTTTGTATTGTATTTGTTGCGGTTAACGGCTACCTACGCCCGAGTTCGCGCTCTGCTTTCTTGGATCAGCTGAACTCTTAATCTCACACATCCAACACACGATGGGAAATAGATATAACTTTGCCAGGCGGTTTGTTTCCGCTTGGCATCGCTCTGCCACAATCACTTCGTGGCACGAAGTTTGAGCACGAAGTTCGTGCTCAAACACACGATTAAAAAATAGTAACCACTTTTATTCACTTATTTTAAATTCTCAGCGTTTTAATTCCTATGTGCTGTTAGGGGATTTGGCATTACAGAGTCAGTAGCCCCAGTTGTTAGGTGACCTGCTGTGGCTTAGAGCCACATACAAAAGACCAAGTCATGGTGGCTTCTAATCACGTAGCCACACGTTACGCTGAGGTTTTGTGAATATGATCAAGAAATATATTATACAGTATTGTGCAAACCGATAATTGACCTGAGCCTGGTCAAGCTACATCATGACAAAAATACCCAGCTCGTTCAGCAGATCAATTTGAGTTTACTATTTCGCTCCTGTTCGCAATCTTGACCATCAAGCATGCCCAGTACATTTACGGTAAGCTGGAGAAATGGATATAATATTTACTGAAGTAAATCATTGAAGTTCCGGCCTAATAAGTAGTGTAACGGGCTTTCTGGCCCGTTACCGACGTACACAGAACAGGAAGGTAAAATTGACTCTCAATATATTGATTGACGAGACGGCCTCGACACGCGAGGCCGTCCCAGTCAGAGATACACAATCAGGGCCTGATTGGCCATCGCGCAACGCGATGGCAAGCGTGTGACGGCAGCCCGTCACACCACCCCTCACTAAAAGGAAACATGCACGGACTCATTTTGGATCTTGCGAGCTGTCATGGGGAGCCGATCGGGATAGCTGCTTCGTCCACTTCAACGAAGGCTGTGCGCGCTGTTGCGGGTACGAGCACTCGTGACCAGGTCCTGCAGCATGGCAGCACATCTTTGACGCTGCCCATCTCTCCCCCACCGAAGACAATGTGATCCGACGGTACCAGCGCGCGCTGGGAGAGGCTAGGCGCGGCGCGCCGCCGCGCCGCCTAGCACGCTTGCCTCGTACGCCGCCACCAAGTCCGGAACGTCTTGGAGGAGCGCCTCGCCGGCCTCCCAACTATCCTCCAGTGGACCGATCCAGCGGACAAGGTACTGCCGATGCGAGGGAACGCGATAGCCGCGGATACGAGCGCCGCGACCAGACTGCGTACGACGAGGACCAGCGCGACGATCGTCGTGCTCCAAGATCGCCTCCACGATATGTCAAACGTGGCCCGCGCTGTCCACGAGAGGCGGAGGACCGTCGCGCAGGAACCGGACAGTACGACCGCTGGGCGGAAGTGGAGGCGGAGCGTGAACGCTACCGGGCTTGGGAGCGGCTGGAGCGTGATCTGGAGGAGCTGAGTCAACAGTTGGGGGTGCGTGGACAGGAGCGCTGTGGATGTGATCGGGACTGGGGCGCTGGCTGGGAACAGCGCCACTAGGGACATCCGCCGGGTGGTATCGGTGGAGTCGGTCGACGTAGAAGGTAGGATGCAGGCGAATAGCGGAAGGCAGTTGAAGCGTGTACGCATCCCCAAGTACGAATCGTGGCGCAAGCTTGCTTGTGCCCAAGTTCGTCACCGCTGTTGGTTGGATGCCAGGCCGTCGAGAGTAGGACGCGGTCGCGGACAACGAACACCTCTCTGTTCTTGCGGCCGCGTCGATCAGCATATTCTTTTTCACATTCCACCGCCGTTGCGATGGTGTCGCGTACGAAGCGGACGATGGAGTCACGCTTTGCCAAGAAGTCGTTAACACCCACAGCATCATGAGGCTGTGGCACCGGAAACGGGTCGAAATTGGCGGGAATCGGCACAGCAGAAGCGACCGCACCCGGCGCGTTCTGGTATTCAACGGCACGACGTTGACTTGGAGCGATCAACGTCCGCGAAGTCCAAGCGGCAATGTCAGGCGGTGTCGCCCTCGTGGCGGCACTTGTTCGCGGCACTTGTCCCTGAGTCGCACCGTCTGGATTCAGCGCGGCCCTCGTGGCGGCGCGTGTACGCACTCCTTGCGTGGCAGTCTTGGCACCATGTCGCGTGGTGACAGCGTGTAATAGTGGCGCAGCAGTGTCGTGAGTACCTTCACGACTGGCAACATACGTCAGAGGCACGGCCGCACGTGATAAGGTTACCGGGTCGGACGACGCGGACACTGCCGCGTCTTCGCTTGCGGGAACAGGAGCGATGGACGGGTGCTCCATCCCAAGGAGCACTGGGACGCGGGGATGACGGCCGAAGTTGATGAAGAACGGGGTCAAGCCAGTCGATGAGTGCACAGCGTTGTTGTTCGCGAACTCGACCATGGACAGGAATGAAGTCCAGGAGGTAAACGATGTGGCGAATCTCTTCGACGACACGGTTGGCGCGCTCAGTTAGGCCGTCCGTCTCGGGATGTGACGCGGTAGACATAGCCGACCGCGTCCCCAGCAGCTTGAAGAGCTCTCTCCAGAAGGCGGACGTGAAGCGAGGGTCCCAATCTGACACAATTGAGGACGGGATGCAGTGGTGGCGGTTCACCACGTCGACAAAGAGCGCAGCAGCCTGCTGCGCGGTGATCGAAGCTGCGACAGGAGCGAGATGGACCATCTTGCTGAAGCGGCGAACGAAGGCAAGAATGCCAGTACGACCTCGAGTGTCCCGAGGTAAGCCAAAGACGAAGTCCATGCTCACGGATGACCACGCGGCGGTGGCGACAGGGAGAGATCTACTGCTTGGATGGATTCGGCTTCGCGCGGTGGCACGCATCGCACGAGCGTACCCACTTTCGTACCCACTTGTATATATGCGGCCAGTAGAAGTCGCGAGAAAGGGACGCGAAGGTCGCAACCGAGGTGTCCACCATTTCGAGTATCGTGAAACTCGTGGGTCAGCCGAGCTCGGAGGTAATCGTCAAGCGGAACGACGATGGGGGGAGGGTCCTCTTGATCGACGCGGTACGTCAGCAGCGCGCCGTCAAGTTGCCCCTTGGTGCAGGGGCAGAAAAGCTGTTCTCTGGGCGGTCTCGCCTTGTGGCGGCTCGAATGCGAGTCGCAGGTCCGTTTTCATGGAGTCCGTAGTCAGGAAGCAGGAGGCGTCGGCAACGAGCTTGCCGAGCGCCCAATCTTTCGCCTTTCCCGTCAACTTGGATAAGAGAAAGCGCGTGCGCGCAAGCTCGGTAGACAGCTGCCGAGCTTCAATTGCGATGGCCACCTCGCAGAACCAGCGCTTGAGGTGAAGGCGACTCTCGCCTTCGCCACTGTAGGTCGAGACATCGAGCTTGACGATGTTGGTCTTGTTCTTGGTCTGCGCGGGAGTCGACACTTGCTGACGAAGGTCAGCGAGCTCACGCGCCATGAACTCCTGGGCGGCCAGGCGTTGCTGCCCCTCAGTGCTCACAGTCAGCAGCGTCGTAATGACACCGTCGCTAGACACTGCAGCGAGGCGGTCCAGCGTCTCCCACTCTATCGTTGAGAGGTGGGAAAAACTAGCATGCTCCAGCGAAGTGACAGACGCGTTTGGCATCGACGCGTCGTTCATCTTGGTCTTGGTCGTCGGACGGAGTACAAAGTACTACCAGGTGTAACGGGCTTTCTGGCCCGTTACCGACGTACACTGAACAGGAAGGTAAAATTGACTCTCAATATATTGATTGACGAGACGGCCTCGACACGCGAGGCCGTCCCAGCTAGTGATACACAATCGGGGCCTAATTGGCCATCCCGCAACGCGATGGCAAGCGTGTGACGGAAGCCCGTCACAAGTAGGAAATCCTGTAAAGCCTATAACTTTCTATTATGTTAGGCTACACACTTTCAAATCTTTAACAGCAAATGTGGTCAGGTAAAGCTTTCTCCAAGCTACAGATTTGTTGTCTGTAGTAAGTACTCTAACGAAATGGAGAAAAACAAATACTGGGAGGTTTCCCGCGCAATCAATATACGATATAGCAACTGGCGTGAATTGCCCTGCGTTCCCGTGGTATTTATGCTGCGAGCAACAATTGCCGATGCTTCGTTTAGGATGATCAGCATCCAATGTCGCTTAGACTAATTGTGGAACACCTTCTGTTTTAAGGTTGACGAGGACGGCCTGGTTCAGAATCAGTGAAACCATCTAGGAATCTTCGACTCGAACCCAAAATATAATGACAGCACTGAGGGAAACGAGGGAGGAGGGGTACACACTCCAATTTAATCGAGTTGATATAAGTAATCAGGGGTATGCAAATATTGATTGAAGTTGTTGGATTGTCAAGATTGTTAATCACAATAATTGATTGTGTCAAGATCGGCAATCACAATCTTAGATTTTTCCCTAGGTCCTATAGCCTCTTTGCGCTTCTAGAACCAATCAACCACGGTAGAAAAGCATTCCGTCAACCAAATGTTTCAAAACCGAGTCGACGAGCGAATATCCACTTGTTTTGGCGCCATTTTGGTCGGCAGACTTGTCGTAAGAGGGAGCTTGAGCTCGCTAAGCGTGGTCATTATCCAATTTGCCACATACTTGCCAAGTTAGCGGTCAGCAGCACACCATGAAGAACGCCGAGATCGTCAAGACACTCTACAACGACCCCACATCTACGGAGCTCACATGCACAATCTGTAACGAAGTCGTCAAGCAAAAGAAAGAGGCCGGCTACAAGAACCTGATCACACATCTGAGACGTCATCACAATGGGTTTGAATCCGTCGCTGAGGAATGCATGAAAAAGAACTGCCAGCCAATTAGTCCACAAGGATGCTGCCGAGGAAGGCCATTGAGAAAGCTAAAACCATCAACGACGCAGCTGTACTGTAAACATCGACAATATACTGCAATATCTAGCTCGAAGATTGACAAGATTGCAATCATTGATTGTCCTGAAGCTAAGCCGTCAATCAATAAACAATCTTTATTTACACACCTCTGACAAGTAATAATAGTCGTTACTATCTAAGGACTGCCTGCAGCATAATAGAGGATCCATTACAAAACAAATACTGTGAGTGAGGTCCCCCAGCGTTGCCAATAAACTATACGAACCGCGACCTCCCCGGCATGCTAGCCGTCCAGGCATTCAGTTCTATTTTCTTGTTATACATAGTAGGGATCGTCAGTAACGGAGCAGAACCAGATTGTACGTACCGTCAGCTTACAATCCCTATTATACTACACGTACCGAAAAGTCATCGCAAGGATAATCCCCCACGACGAGAGGAGAGGGAGGTACCTGGTCCATTTCACAAGTAAAGTTTGCGAATTAACCACTCTCCACCGCACCCATACTCAGCTAGACGTCATGCGACTTACA